TCCCTACTGCTTCCTATAGAGCATTTCTTTCTCCAAAAGTTAATTACACAATAGATTCCTTGGTGATTTTGAACTGTGGTCACAAAGGACATGGGTATTTATTATCTTAATTACTAATTGGGTACATTTAAAAACAAAAAGACAGAAAAAAATGAAAGCTGTGGCTGCATGACTATCTTTTTTGATTCAGCATTATCTGCTAATTAAGACTTTAAAATAGTAAGAAAGATTTGTTGCATTTCAGTGAAGCTTTCCTCCTGAAAGGAAGTACAAGAAAATATTTCTTAGGTTGAATGTGAGATGGAAAATTTCATGAAAATATGTCTCAGGTAGTTTCTAGAGAGAAATGTCCAAGAAATCTCTGCCTGAGTGCTAGTATTGGTGAAAAACAATGAGTGATTGGTGGTGTACTACTTCTCCATTCAGACACTCCTGATCAAGTTTGATCACCAGAAGAACTGTGCGGTAAAATGACTATCTGAGTATGACACTCAGAAGAGTAAGTATATTAAGCTAGGTCAATTATGCTGAACTTTAAAAAATATGTAATACTTTCCTTGAGGGTGGGGGGGTGGATGTATTTTATCAAATTAAAGTTTCAAATGAGTAAATTTTATATCTTTTTAAAAATCCACTCAACCACTTACAACTGGTATTTTAAAAACTAATGAAATGAATATACTGAAATCAGCCTGCTGCCTGCTTTATATATTAATAAATATGGTGTTATTTAAGTGTTTTAATCTACATCCTGAAGTAACTTATTGTATATACTCGTGTATAAGCCAAGTTTTTCAGCACATTTTTAATGCAGTTTTTGTGGTAAAATTAGATGCCTCTGCTGATATTTGGGTCGGCTGATACTCAAGTATATGCGGTATGTTAAAATATCATTCACACCTGAAAATGCACTCACACTTTCCTCATTATAATGCCTATATGCCCATGTTCCAATAGTTTCTTACTCTGTTATTGGGTGCCACGGAGTATGTGCCAACTCATGGAGTCCATGTGGCAGAGTAGAACTGCCCCACAGGGGTTTCTTGATTGCCAGGTCTTTCTCCTGGGGACCTACTGGTTGGGTTACAAAGGAGAACCTTTTGGTTAACAGTCCAGTGTTTAACCATTATGTCACTAGGGATTCTTACCCTATTTGCCTGTAAACAAAACAATGAAATCTTTGCTAGACAGATACACATATCTTCCACTCAGTTAGTTATTTGATCAAGCTTTACCTCTTTGTATCTAGGTATGACAGCACTTACTCTTAATGTAAAACAACAATAGCTTGGAGAGAAAAATTATGTTTTTGCAACAAATAATACTGTTCTACAATGAGAGGCTGTGTGTGTATAGCTTTAGAAAAGATGACTATGTAACAAGCAAGAAGCCTAAGTGGTGCAATGAAGCTTTGGGCTGTTAAATGAAATTTTGGTGGTTCAAACCCACCAGTTTCTCATTATACCATTTACAGATAGAAAACATTTGAATAACTTCCAGAACACATGGTTAGCTCTAATTTAGGGATTTTCCAATTAGGATGCTGCATGTAGCCCAACCATAGAATCATGAATCTTTGGCTTTGGCTTGAAAGATCTTTATTAGAAATATGTAAATAAGGTACAAATGATATTGCAAAGAACAAGCTTCCAATAGAAAATTATATACAGATGGGAGGTAGCTACCCTGGATATTGCTTCATCTCACCAGAGTCAACTACAATAACCCCCATGTTGCATAAACAGTATGAGACATTTTTGTGAAAGGAAATATTTTTAAAGGGAGTGCCAAATTCATTAAAGGAGAGGGCTAATATATTTTCTAGATTGGTAGATTAAATATTCACTTCATACAATTGACAGCCAAAAATTATTGAACATTTGATAATAAGTCTGGGATATTGCTAAATTGAATGACAAATCTTTAGAAGGTATCAATAATATGAAGAGGAGAAGTGGAATAATTTCCTTAAGAGGAAATACTAGAAAGTGGAAAATAAAAAGTTGTATTAAAGACTCAGGGTAGCATTGTAAATCAGGTTTACAGTCAAGCATATCCTTACCAACATTACCCATTATAATATAATTAAATGAATAGATAATATACTAATAGCACGTGTGAGCTACTGCTGAGTCCATTCCACATCATAGTAACCGGGTGTCCAATAGAACGAAAGGCTGCCCAGTCCTCACAACTGTTCTACTGCTTGAGTCCATTGTTGTGGACACGGTGTCATTCCATCTCGGAGAGAATCGGCCTCTTTTCATTAACTATTTACATTGGAAAGCATGATGTCCTTCTCCGGGGACAAGGTTCTTCTGATAGCTTGTCCAACGTACATGAGACAACATCTCATCTTCTTGTTTCTAAGAAGCATTCTGGCAGTACTTTTTCCAAGACAGGTGGAATAGATATAATTACTTGGTATATGCGCATGATATAATACTAAATAATTGGGGATAGAAACATTTTTCACAAATAAAAATGGTTGATTTACCAACAGAATGCTACAGAAAACAAGCATGACAAAATAATGCAATTTAAAATTTATGGAAAAATAAATATATGTCTGAAGGAAGGAGACAAAATTAAAAATCAATAATAAAAGCAAGAAATTATTAACACAAAATTACAATGGTTGCTAGTCCCATGAAACAGAAGATACCCCCTACCTTCCAGTGTATTCCAACTCATAGTAACCTTATAGCACAGAGTAGAACGGCTCCTTAGGGTTTCCAAAACTATGCATCTTTCCAAAAGCAGAAAGCATCATCTTCGCCTACAAAGTGCCTTGTGGGTTCAAGCTGCTGACCGTATGGTCATCAGCCCAACATGGAACCAACTTTGCCAGGAGGGCTTTCCAGGAGGCACAGAGGAAGAGACAGTAGCCAGAAAGAGCCATAGAAGATGTTTCTTTTCAGGGCATTCCACATTTTATTTCTGCAGTCAGATGCCAGTCTCGTTTATGCTTCTTTAATAAATATTTAAACAGTACTCATTTATATGCATATATATGTTTGCATACACGTTTTAATGAATGGAAAAAATAGTACTAGACCTACAAAGAATACAATTTTAATCAGATAAACATATATTTATACTTACTTAAAACAAATAATACATGATTATAAGAAAGAATAGGAGTCATGCAGATGATAACATTCAAGAAACATATCAAGTTCTCGTTTGAACTGTTGTTTTTGACATCTAAAAAAGAGTGCCTATATGTAGTGGACAGTTAACTGAAAGATTGGTAGTTCAAATCCAGCAGTCACTCCATGGGAGTAAAATGAGGCTGTTTTTCCCTGAGAAGGTTAACAACTTTGGAATCTTTTTATAGGGTCACAATAAGTCTGAATCAACTCCATGGGAGTGGACTTGGCTTTTGGTTTCTGTGTAATTTAATCTAACAAAAAGAATACATAGCGTTTAGTAAGAAGGCCATTACAGATGACCTTTTCTAAGCTAGTTTTTTAAGGTGATGATATTCAACAGATTAGAATGTGTGAGACAGCAAAGTGTGTCTTTTAGAGAAAAAAATCATTGTAAATAAGAAGTGGTAAACAGTGGGAGAATGTGTTTGTTATTTAAACTCGCATGTGATCTTAACCCATAGCGATGAAAGGGTTAATGTTTCCAGCTGCTAATTTTAAGATTGGGGTTCAGGTTCACCCTGACACACTTCAGAAGGCCTGGTGATCCACTGGAGACAAACAGACCACTGAGAATCCTGTGTGTCCAAGTTCTACTATGACACAACTCACATAAACTCAGTGGCAGCTTTTCCTTTTAAGAAAATCTTGATAGCGCTAACTATTTAGCATTTCAGTTGTAGAATACTTGCCTCCCACCTGTGGGAGGTGGCAGGTTTGATTCCCAGCCAATTCAATTCCTAGACAGGCAAGACCCATCTGTCAATGAAGGATTACCTGTTATTAGGATGCAGAACAAATTTTAGGGGAATTTGCAAAGTAAGACAAGAAAAAAAGTCCTTGTGATTTCAAGATCAACAACTGAAAACTCTGCAACAGATCATGGGGAAGAACTAGGCAAAAGGGATGGAGGAAAAGAGAAAAAGACTAGGCAACAAAAGGAAAAGGGTCTTTTGTGTACTCGGTCTCTCTCCATGAGTTGAGTGATGTCTAGAAGGCACCTGATAAACCAACAATAACAAACAGTAAGGCGCTTCCAGGACTACAACTTTACGTGATCATAAAATAGGGTAGTTGAATTCTCATGATATGTAGACTAATTATAGTACTGTAATTTTCAAACTTTAATGTATTTAAAACTCACCTGGAGAAATAATGGCTCCGGAATCAGGGTTATTAAATCAGGATAGAGTCTCCTAGGCTTTTGACATTTTGCAAACCTGGTGATGTATTTAAAAGAAAACAACAACAGTGTCATATTGATTAAGCAAACTTGGAAATCATGCGTGTCAGTGGATAGGAATATAAATGAGGTGCTTATAAGAATCTCTTGTTTTTTTTACTGAAAGAATTTTTAGATATAGTAGTTCTTTGTTTGCTCAAGTAGATATATAGTATTTTGTAGTCTTCTATAACTATTGGCTTATGTAATCATTTTAAATAAAAGAATAAAGACTACCTCTTCAAGTAAAGACATGACACTGGAGATTTGAACTTGTAAGTACAGAAAAAAAAGATTCGAAGCAAAAGGATTTCAGACTGACACTGAATTCATTTACAATCAATAGTATCCTTTAATCCTATGGTTAAAATAAACTGATCAAGTATATTCCCAATATCAAGTTAATTGATAAAATAAATTTGAAAAAGTAAGAAATAGTTGGAATTATCAAAAAAATGATATAGTGAAAATATATTTGGAGAAAAGTTTCCCTAGATCAGTCATATATGCACAAGATACATTGATAAAGTCCAGAAAGAAAATATATGCTAATTATATTAATTGGAACGTCTAATTAATTTCTATTACTTACATAAATTGTTATCTTTTTTCCCCATTTCAGTCTCAATCACACAGGCAGATTGGGCTGAAATCAGAAGTCAGTCATGAGAAACCATACAAGACTAACTACTTTCATCCTGCTGGGATTGACAGACGACCCGCAACTAAAAGTTCTGATATTTATCTTTCTACTTGTTACTTATATGTTGAGTGTCACTGGAAATCTCACAATCATCACTCTCACTTTAGTGAGTTCTCAACTTAAATCTGCCATGTACTTTTTCCTCCAAAATTTCTCAGTCTTAGAGATTTCATTTACTACAGTCTGTGTTCCTAGATTCCTTTACAGCATGTCCACTGGAGACAATATGATCACTTACGATGCTTGTGCTAGTCAATTATTTTTCGTCATTCTCTTTGGAGCGACAGAATTTTTTCTCCTGGCCATCATGTCCTATGACCGCTATGTGGCCATTTGCAAACCCTTACATTATGTGACCATCATGAATAGTAGAGTCTGCAGAAGGTTTGTTCTCTTCTGTTGGGCGGGAGGTTTGTTAATCATAACCCCCCCACTTAGCCTAGGTTTAAATCTGGAATTCTGTGACTCTAATGCCATTGATCATTTTCTCTGTGATGCATCGCCTATCCTCAAGATCTCTTGCTCAGACACGTGGTTCATTGAGCAGATGGTTATAGCCTGTGCTGTGTTGACCTTCATTATGACGCTTGTGTGTGTCGTTCTTTCTTACATATACATCATTAAGACCATTCTAAAATTCCCCTCTGCCCAGCAGAGGAAGAAGGCGTTTTCCACATGTTCTTCCCACATGATTGTTGTTTCTATTACTTATGGAAGCTGTATCTTCATTTACATTAAACCTTCAGCAAAAGAAGAAGTCGACATTAATAAAGGTGTGTCGATACTTACTACTTCCATCGCCCCAATGCTAAATCCCTTTATATATACCCTGAGAAACCAACAAGTGAAACAAGCTTTGAAGGACTCAATCAAAAGACTTGCATTTCTTTCCAAGAAATAGGGATATACTGAAATTGCAGATACAAGTTACCAGGATAATATGATTTCGTGATTATAGGACCTAAGAAAATTGGCAAGCTATTTTTGAGGCTTGATAATGTAAATATTGAGATTGTTAGTAAGATTTCAGAAACATTAGAAGAAAAAAATTTTAAGTTAATATTCTAAAACATACTGATAAAATGTGAAGGTGTAATTTCATGACCTTTGGTTTCTATTTTAGAAATTGTTTTTCATCAAATTCTATACAATTAGTTTGGAGGAAGGAGTAGTGTTTAATCACAAAGAAATTGAGAAACAATTAGTGATTATGGTATTTCTGGATTATTGTTTATCTTTGTAATCATTATTACACTTACACTGACTGTCTAAAAACACTGTAACTTCTACAACTAAAAGATTCTAAGCAGCTAATTTTGTGCACATCTTGCAAGACATTACGGTAAAGTGACATCTCTCGTTAATAAAATTTCCAAGAAAACAAAGTAGATTTCATCTTCAAACTGGGGTTACTAATTCAAGAAACAAATCATCTGTATAGGTGTGGCGCACACCCCCCACACAGTACTCATCCATGAATCTATCAGCACCATTCTCAAGAAATAAATAAACTACCAAAATACTTTACAAACCTTAAAAATATAAACTGCAAAAGAAACAGTTGCTATGAGTCAGAATTGACTCACCGGCAGTAGCTCTGGTTTCTTTTCCTTTTTCTTTTTTTTTTTAGGGCAAAGCAGGACAAACACTGAAACATGGATTAAAACATCATCATAAAAGTATCATAGAGGGGTTTTTCCATGGCAACAATGGGAAAATTTCATCTGTAAAGTTTATCCCATTCACCCTTGATCCCTGATCTTGCACCTCTAAACTTTGTTTTTCTTCCCCCAAATCAAGGAACATTGAAAGAAAACACAATTTGTGTTCATTGAAGATACCCAAACTGTTGTTTTGCTGTGGTGTTAATTGAAGATGAAGAATTATTCTAGGAGGGTTAGAGAGATGGAAACACTGCCTTCTGAGGTATATAAAGGTAGATGGAGGATATGTATAGAAACACTTGCTTCATATTTTTATTTAATAAAGGACTGTATATGTTTGCAGCAATATTTTTACTTCCTCTCCTACTAGCATGTATCAAAACAAAACCAAATAAGACAAAATTTTCTTTGTATTAGAGCTTAAATTCTAAAGCACTTGGTTTGTTGAAGACTATAGTGGACAGACTCAAAATATTGATTTTGAGTCTCAACATAAATTCAGACTCCATGTGAGTTACCTCTAGCCATTAAACCAGCAGTGTTCATGACAAATCCCGGAAAGTAGGGCTATATCGTTTTTTCTCTCAGGAAAAGTATGTTTGAAAATAGATGAGAATTGTTGCCTTCACCATTGTACATGCTTAATGATTTATTGGAACTAGTGGCATGGTATGCAGCTTAAGTTGGGGGGTTGGCGACGATGATTTGGTTGCGTGGTCATGAGTAATACATTAGCTCCCACTTAGCCAATTGGTCAGAGACCTTGAACTGACCATGCGCACTTTTACAATTCACAACTGTAAACCTTTCCCTGCATCATTGTCATGCCTGAGAAGTGTTTAACTGACCTGCCATAGATGATGGTTTTGTCATCCTTTTCTTTGTTTTCGATCACGTATAATTTGTCTTATGACCAAGAGTCTGCCTAAATCCATGTGCTTTACATTGACTGGTTCCCTAATCTGGGATGATCTGTCATTATTTTGTCTTCATCCTGCTTCAAACCTAATAAAACTACCTTTACCAAAATTTTGAATCTTAGTTCTGATAGTATATACCTTTTACCAGAAATCAATAGTATAAAGTTAGAAAGAACAAAAAGTATGGCCCACAGTGTTTGTTCTTAAAGAAAACCTTCTCACTCTTCCTCACAATACTGTTGACCACTGTTCATATCACTCTTGCTCTTGATCCAGGCATAACGATTGCTTTTGTCTTGCTTTGGACATCTGCGTTCATTTTATACTGCTTTTTTCATTCACTGTCATGCAGTCGATTCTGACTCCTAGTGAGCAACCCTTTGAGGTGGGTAGAATTGCCCTATGGATTTCTGAGACTGTAAATCTTTACAGGATAGAAAGCCACATCTTTTTTCCCATGGAAGAGCCTGGTAGTGTAGTAGTTACACATTGGACTGCAATCCTCATGGTCAGCATGAAACATGCTATCAGTAAGACTGGGCTCTCCACTCCCTTAAACAGTTATAGTCTCAGAAACATATAGCGTGTCACTGTGCATCAGCATTGAGGACGGCAGGGAGGTTTTGTTGTTGTTGCTCTTCTTCTATGGAGTCGTCGGTATTGTTTTGTTTGTTTGTTTGGATCATTTCATTGGGAGCTCTTATAGACATCATAACATTCCATAGTTCAATCACATCAAGCTGTATCGTACAACTGCTACCACAGTCAGCTTCAAAACACTTTCTTTCTTCTTGAACTCCTTGATCTCAGCTCCCAGTTATCCCCCCCCCTCCCCAACTATCCCCCATCCTTTCATCCGGAAAGGAGGTGTGATAGCAATGAGCCAAGAATGATGGCAACAGGGGAGTAATAAGCGTTCTAAATTGATGGCAAGGAGGGTGTAGCTCTTCTGACTGCCAGTGCTTTTCTGCCTCAGAATTTCAAGTTTCTCCATTCTTCGGCTCTTGACCTACTAGCAAGAAAGGAGAGGAAAACAATTTCAGGAGAGGGAAAAAATTCAGAGAAAAGCTGGACAGAAAAGGTTTTAACAGGCAGCTTAAGTTTATTGAAGGGGGAATACTCTGGAAAGGAAATCCAAATGGCTCAGAGTTATTCTAAAGGGGCTGACAAAACATAGAGTGGGACCTTATGTACCACTAATGGCGGACTTCTCACCATAGACCAACTTGGTGCTTTTGACCGGTCGTTTGTAGGGTACCTCCTCCTCAGGTATGTGCATCATAGCATTCCATATCATAACCAGAACCCCAACAGCCCAGACTTCATGCTATGCTCTTGCCTCAGACCCAAACCTCAGGTGTCTTCAGTCACTGTGGGGTTTGGGCGAACATCTTGTCTTTCCTTCCCAGCAATTTCATTATCTCCAAAATCTTCAGGGCTCTTTCATTGATAAGGGAATGCGTTTCACATTCTGCCCTTCACCGTCCTTGGTGCTGGAGAGGTATGTGCTGTAGGGAAACATGTCTCCATCTCTCGTTTGTGTTACGATTCTTTCCAGACTCCTGCCATTATGAACCTCTTCCCCCTTCCCATCTTCGGACTACCGAACATTTCCAAACTGCCGACCTTGTCGTTAGCAGCCCATCTTGTAGCCACTATGCCACCAGCATGCCTCTGTACTGCTTCCCAAAGTTTTTGTTTGGAATAAACACACACACACACACACACACACACACACACACACACGCTCCATCCCATTCTTCCCCTCGTCCTTTACATACATCCTCTATTTCTTCCAGGATCCCTGATGGCACAGTGGTTATTCGTTGGACTGTGATCAGCAGTTGGAAACTGCCAGCCATTCCTCTGGAGAAAGATGGAGCCTTCTACTTCAAAAAGAGTTAGTCTTGGAAATTCATGGGAGCAGTTCTGTCCACTTGCAGCTTTTTTGCTTCCTGTCCCAGCAACCCTATGCGCTTCAGGCCTGGAGTGCCTGGTCCGGAAGGAAGGAACTCTCCCACCTCGAAACCCAGCATGGATTCCACTGAACTGGCAGCTGAGAATGTCCCCTGGCCACTTGGGGCTTCTCATGCCTTTGGATCAACAGGTCAGGAAGGGTGTCACTGTACTGATTGATTGGTGTGATTGATCCTGATTACCAAGGGGAAATTGGACTGGTGTTACATAATGGAGGTAAAGAAGAATATGTCTGGAATCCAGGAGATCCCAGAGGCCGACTCTTAGTACTACCAAGCCCTTTGATTAAAGTAAATGATAAGGTACTGCAACCCAATCCTGACAGGACTTATAGTGACCCAGACTCTGCAGGAATCAAGGTCTGGGTCACACCACCAGGCAAAGAAACCACAGCCAGCTGAGGTGCTTACCAAGGGCAAAGGTAATACAGAATGAGTAGTAAAAGAAGGGAGTTCTACCTATCAGTTATGACCACATGATCAATTGCAAAAGCAAGGTTTGTGATTGTCAGTTTATTTTCTTTATATGTGCTTATTGAATATCTTTCCTCTGTTCATGTATGATGCATCAGATCCAATTGGACTCAGTGTGTTTCATTTATATGTATGATAGATATTTGATGTTAAGTGTAAGTGTGATTTCATTAATGTCTGAAAATTATATAGGGCTAAAGAATTGTGTACAGGTGCCAAGTTGGCATTGGGTGGATTGTGATAGGAAGGTTTACTGTGCTAACATGACCAATGAACACATGTGGGGTTAATTGAAGGGCAGAGAGATAAATGGCTCGGCGGGTCTCCCCTTTCCTACTATAATATCTCTTACTCCACATTTCAGGGCATCAACTCGATGGCAGTGAGTTTTGGTTTTTGAGCATACTTTTTCAAATCTCAGCGTAGATGTCATTAAAAAATATTTGCCTGGCCCTTTCACAAATCGATGCCTGTTTTTTTCATTGTTAGGTGCCACCAAGTAGGTTCCAGTCCTGGGTATTAACAGAACAAAGCACTACCGGGTTCTCACTCTTGTTCATGTGTTGGAGCTTATTGTTGCAGCCACTGGGTCAACCCGTCTTGTAGAATGCTCACCACTTTTCACTGCCCCTCCACTTCATCAAGAGGGATGTTCTTGTCCACGGATCGGTCTCTCCTGATAACATGTTCAAAGTATGTGAGAAGTCTCACCATCTTTGCCTCTCAATTAGTGTGCATTATGGGTAATCAAATATATTTTCTCTTTCTAAACAAGTATCAGACATTGCAATGTTCTATTTTGAAAGGTAACCTACTGGTTGGTCTTCCTAAATAGTAAAAAACTTTCTTTTATAAGTTTGAAATTGTTTTGAAAACACATTGCTTTCCTTTTGGCGCCAAACATAGTGTATATTTGAATATAGCTATATTGAATTAGTGTAAATTGAAATCATGGTGGAGCTCAAAGCATGAGTTCATTTCAGTAAATGTCACTACCTTTGTAGAGTCTCTCAATGTAATATCCATGTGATTCCTTGATATCTTACAAATGCTAACACTCTGAACTAATAACAGAAAGGTTGGCAGTTCAAAGCCAAGAGGAGGAACCTTGGGAGCCAGGCCTCACAATCTCCTTCCTAAAGGTCACACGCCTTTAAAATCCTTTGTTACTTCTGTTAGGTAGCTAGATTTAGGGACACATGGGGATATCTCCCCAATGCCTGCAAAGGCACACATACAGGGGTTGGAAAGAAATCAGGCACTAATTGGACACCTAAGGGAAGACTCCAAAATGAGCATGAACAGATTAGGACCCCTTAGGCCCAGGTAAAATGAATATCTTGGGCACACCCACCTTAGGTACATCACACAGGTGGGCCTTAACTCAGGCAGTGAGGTCAACCAATACCTTCAACCACACCTCCCCCAACCAGGCATGTTAAATATCCCAGTGGGGGAAGGCCAGCTCTCCTTTGCTCTGGTCTTTCAGCAGGTCGGAGGGTGGTGCGGTTCACATGCCACCCTGGCATACCCCCTCAGGATCCAGCCTGGGCCCACTCGGGCAAAATTGTTCTTTGGCTCTTGGCCTCTTGGTCCCTGGGGATTCCCCAGTTCTGCATGTGTGGTGTTCTTTTCCAGGTGGTTTTTCGTGCCCAGTTGTGAACCCCAGCATGGTTTCCGGAAATACCACAGATCGTTTTACTTCTGTTAAACCTGAAACTTTTCCTGTCCTTCATAAAATCTCACTTTGATTACAAAACGTGGTTCAGTGTGAATTCTTTTAGTGTGTGAAGCTGAGACCTGAGGGATGACCCACTCCAGAAACCTAAGACTTCCACCACAGGGTCGCCATGCTTCAGAATCCACTCCATCGCAGCGGACAACAACGAGATCTAAGAAATGTCCATCTGTGTACAACAAGCTTATTTAAAGGACATCTAGGCATGATGCTACATAAAAAGCAAATTTATTTGGTAAAATTTATTACACAGAAATTTACTGAAAACCATATAATTTCTATCATGAATCTAGGGTTTAACAGTGAAGACAATTGGCTAGCACCCTTCCTTGCTCCTTTGTCATTCACCATCCTTTGAAATGGATAATGCTGGCTCTGGATCTCCAGATTTCATCCCCTTGTGAAATGTAAAGCAATGGGAGGATCAATCTGCACATTTCGGTGGAGTGCTTTGGGTGTTCCATCACCCAGCAGTTTCTCAGGCCTGTCCTTTCACCAAGTGCTGATCACAATTGCACCTCTTGATTTGGGTTTAAATCTGTGTTTCCGTACCCATTTTAACCCTATTCTACTCTAGGAAAACTCAACTAGAATCTCAATACAACCACAATCCCAGCTGTTTCCATGGCAGTGGGACAGGGGAAAGGTGATCTTCCAATGTAACCTCCCACAGTCAGATAGAAACAGATTTTGAATGTCAATGCTCCCCTCTAAGTGATGTTGACAAGGCCAGCCAGAAGCTCTCTTCCACACCCTGCCTAGCAGGACCAGACAGGGCTCAAATTCCTCCACCAGAGGAGTTTCAGTGCAGCCAGCAGCCCTGAGATTTAATGAGATGGTATAAGGTGGAGCAAGTCCCACATAAAAGTTCACCTTTTCTTGCCCCAAGACCGCCGTGTCATTGAGAACCTGCTAGGGATTGCATATTGAAGCCGGTGAGCATTCCACTTCCTTCTAGTTCTAGTGTCAGAAGTCTGCTGAGCAATTGAACCTATGTATTGTGCCAGAACAAGATCAATTAACTCAGATTCAACTTTAATTAACTTTTGTAAGTCTTTATTAACTGGCAGTCATGGGGGGACTAGAGCCTAATTCTCCCAAGAATACAATATGGTTCATTGTGGTTAAATTGTGGTGGGTTACTACATACATATTCACCTAGCATCAACAAGATAGATCATGAGGCATGATGCTGTTACCTTCTACCTGCAACTACAAAGTGGTGAAAGACATCCTTGGCGGAAGACCTGGTAGAGGCACATCACTTAAAGCTGTGACTACCAGAGTTTTGACAAGATTTATCATAATTCAAGATAAAGACTCTTAACTGCAGTGACAATGTTTCCTGGATTATGTTCATGACCATACATCACAAACTTTTCTCAGTTAAATTTTACTGCAATTTGTGTGAATTGAGCAGAAATATGTCAGTGATGTGAAATCATGTCATTAACTACATTCATTCTCCTTGAACAAGTGAAGGTTTGAGTGTTCTGTGCACATTTACTTGGACATGTGAACATCATTATACTCAATTTAGGATAATTCCCATCTTAAAAGTGCCATGGATTTTCCCCCTCAAAACATCTCCTTTTTGTAACATGAAGGAACTCGCAGGTGTACCAACAAAGAAGTACTCTCTCATACATTTGGTAACCTGATTTGGACTTCTAGCCTTGAAAACTGTGGTGAAATAAATTGTTGTTCTTTAAACCTCTTCTACTTATGGTATTTTAGTCATAACAGCAATAATAGAAATATTACAATTGGGCTTTAAATAATATTAAGTTATTTTATTAAAAACTTAGAGGCTAACAGTGCAAATCAGTCTTAGTTGTGTTGATATATTTTGTATGTAGCCAGGCCTTATTAGTTTTCTGGTTCAGAGATATTCTTCATGTTATAAGTTTCCCCACCACTTATTTCCTCTACCACACATACTGAAAATTAAAAAAATAATAAAGGAATTCTGGCAACCTATTCCAAAGAAATTATTTTCATTAGGGAGTAATAAACTGTAAGAGTAAAAACAATAATACTCTTTGTGCATATGTCTTTGTCTAAACTGCTCTATTTTTAACCTGAAATCCATTTTGATTGAGAACTCACACTGCTTGAATGTGATAAAATGAACATAAGAAAGAAAACCATATTTCTAAGTAGGAATGTATCTACAGGAAGATAAGGGGGCTTCAAAAAGATTGTGGAATAGTACATTCTCTTTTAATTCCATTTTTCCATGAACTTAATGAAACCCCATTCCTAAGTGTTAGGATTTTAATATATATATTGTGGGACAGTTCCATCTGTAATATTTTACCCTCTGGCTTTCCTAAATCCATGTCATTCCTACATGCAGAGAAACAAACCAACAATCGAACAGAACTCACGCCAGCATCAACCCTATGACCCAACTCTCCTCTGCTGGATAATCTAAATCAAGAAAGGGAGAATTTGAGTCTGTTTTATTCTGAGGAAAAAAATATTTTCCAATGGTGAATCTTTGAAACCTAGAATACAATTTATCTACCCCTAAAGAACAACACTAGGGGCCCTGGTGCCATAAAGTTAAGTGTCTGCTGCAAACTGCAATGCCCGTAGGTGGAAGCCTCCAGTGCTCTATGGGACAAAGAGGAGGCTTTCTACTCCCAGGGAGTTACTGTCTCAGAAACCCAAAGGGCAGTTTACCCTGTTCTATTGGGTCACTGAGTCAGACTGATTCAATGGCAGTGAATTTGGTCTTGGAAAGTACAGCAGGGGTAGGCATAGTATAGACATACCATTTCTGATAAGATATTGAAGGAAAGGAGTCATGAATACCAAAACAAGTCCACTGTCTAATGGAGCAAATTTTACAAACTCTCAGGTCTTGAAAAGAATGATCTTTTCTCCAGGTATATCTGAGGGTAAAAATCCTCCAGAGTCTGGGTTTTGCCCTGCTTTCTGGATTCTGGGTGGAGGTCCCTTTGCACTGGGATGGCAATTCTTCTCCCTCTACTTTAGGTACCCTCATTTTCCTGGCTGTAGTGAGGATGCTCATTCCTCCACTCTAGATAGCCCCTCTCTCATTCTCCTAGACTGCATACCCAGCAGCCCACCCTCTGAATTTTGATGACAAACCCATTTTCTGGACCTACCTAAAAGGCAGCTCCACACTTTAGAACCACCATACAAATTCAAGTAGAAGTTTTAGCTCATCTTATTTTATCATAGCTATATAACAAGAATTGCTACCTTTATAATTGTTTTGCTATCATGATATATATGTAGATTATCCTGTTCATTGTTTTTACATTTACGTTTTATTACTCCCAAACAAAATTTTTTTTTTTTTTAATTTTCAGTGTTTTCAGAGATTTTTTTTTATACTTCTAAATGCAGGTTTAGGTGGTTTTCTTCATTACAGGGTTGCACTTTCAGAAATGTTTTTCATCTTTTAATACATATGAATCATATGGGAATAGTACTTTTCCTATAAAAATACTTCTGGGTTATTTTTATAGATTAGTCCAGAAATGTTGCACCTTACTCCCACTCTCACTGTGCTAATGATAGATATCTCATTGCGTAGTCACACTTAACTGCAAAGAAAGTGGGGAAAATGTGAATTGCTCTCCTCCCCGCAGAGCAGACATTGTGCTTAGCCAGCAACATTGGCTTCCAAGTAACGAGAGTGAATGCCCTCGAAGAACATAATGGACGATAGAGAATTACCGCATAATGGACGATAGAGAATTACCGCATAGTGGTTTATGGAAAGGGATTTTACAGAGAAAATGAGAATGCTGGTATGACTGGAGAACCACTTATAGAGAGAAAAATGGTGTCAAATTGTCAGTATGACCGTTCAATTGCATTCATCAACTTCCTTTAGAGTTTTACATTTTTGAGAGGAATGCAATTTTTTTTTACTGAGTTGTTGAAAGCTTGCTTCACTTGCTTGTTTCTCAGTGTGTAAATAAACGGATTCAACATTGGTGATATAGAAGTAATGAGGAGTGAAATCCCTTTATTAATAGCCACCTCATCCTTGGCTGAAGGTTTGACATAAATGAAGATGCAGCTCCCATAAGTAATGGAAACCACAATCATGTGGGATGAACAAGTGGAAAATGCCTTTTTCCTTTGTTGTGCAGAAGGGAACCTTAGGATTGTCCTGATGATATAGGTGTAGGAAAGAATGACGCAGAGGAAGGTGATGATGAATGTCAACACAGCACACACAATAACCATCTGTTCTATCAGCCATGTATCTGAGCAAGAGATCTTCAGGATAGGAGAGGCATCACAGCAAAAATGATCAATGACATTGGAGTCACAGAATTCGAGGCCCAGACCTAGGCTAATTGGAGGGAGAATGATTATCAGCGCTGCTGCCCAGCAGAAGAGGATGAAGTTCTTGCTCACTTTGGTATTCATGATGGTTGTGTAGTGGAGTGGTTTGCAAATGGCTACATAGCGATCATAGGACATGGTGGCCAGGAGGAAGAATTCTGTTACTGCAAAGAGGTCTATAAATAAGAGTTGACTCGCACAAGCACTATAGGTGATGGACTTGTCCCCAGAAGTTATACTATACAAGAATCTGGGAACACACGCCGTTGTGAATGAAATTTCTAAGAAGGAGAAATTTTGAAGGAAAAGATACATTGGTGTTTTAAGGTGTGAATCTACCAGAGTGAGGGTGATGATGGTTAGGTTTCCAGTTGCACTTAAAATGTAAGAAATAAATAGAAAAACAAAAAGCAGAATTTGTAGTTGGGGGTCATCTGTCAGTCCCAGCAAGATGAAGGTTGTTAGTGCTGTTTGATTTGTCATGCTTGCTTATTGTCTCCTATCCGATCTGTTTGGAATAATGATAAAAGCTTACTAATAGATATTTATAGAACTCATAGATGCTTCTAACCTCCAGAGAAATAAAGTTGAGAGTGAATCCCTTGTCACTGGTTAGTGGAGAAAAAAGTACATAGTATACTGATGTTTGATCAACTCTTTGCTCACATACTCTGATTATATATATTTTAATCACACATTTTATTACTGCTATTTCTAAAGAAGCCACAGTCTAGTTGTAATTTGTGTCAATTGAACATACATTACAAATATTATTGAAACAATTGCCCCTTTTTAAAAATATTGAAATAAAAAATATATATATTGAAATCAGGGCTCCTGAGCCCTTTGACAGAGGAGCCCTGGTGGTGTATGTTCTCAGAAACCAGAATATCTTACAAAGCTATGATAAACTAATTCCATTCAGGTAGATTTTCTATTTCATACTTTAAGGAATATTTGCATTTAATTCTCAGTAATAACTAAAATAACGTTCTAGAAAATTAACATTAGAAAAATGGCATTGTGAGGAATATTATTTATGGTTGTCCTTTAATGGTCCTATTTCTTTGAGTACTTGTAATTCATTCTAGACCTAATTCTTCCTTTTTAATACTTTAGTTGTTTAAAATGTACATAGCAGAATATTTTCTAATCCAACATTTTCTACATGTATAATTCAGTGACATTGATTACATTCTTCAACTTTCACAACCATTCTCATTATCTTTGTCATTCTTATCCCTCTTCTATTATAATAAACTGTCCATAAGGTTTTTAACTAATCTTTTGAGTTGTCAATTTAATCCCATGTAAAACCAAACTCACTGCCATCTAGTTGATGCTGACTCATAGTGACCCTACAGGACAGGGTAGAACCACCCCGTGAGTTTCCAAGACTGTAACTCTTTATGGGAATAGAGAGCCCTGTCTTTCTCCTGCAGAGAAGCTTGTGGTTTTGAACTTCAGACCTTACAGTTAGCAGCCCAGATTATAACCACTATGCCAAGAGGGATCTTTTGATTCCATAGAGAGAGTTCTTGATAAGTGGATGAAGTGCTAATAAAAGTATTGAATAAGTAAATAACAAAAACACAATATTCAAGGCAAATATTGTTTACTAAACAGGATGAACAAATGTCTGACTTAAAGGCAACTTCAGTGAATGCTGTTGGCTTTTATGTTTCAAGATTATCTCAGGGTATTCATCTAGTTCTCAGGGATTCATCTAGCCTGTATGACCAGAAAGTCTGAATTGGTCATAATTTACAGTTTTGTTTTGACAGGTATTGCTATCTGTTAGAAAGAATAAAGAAGAACTGACTATTGCTTTACTTCTGCTTGCCACAAATATTTTCAGTGGATTAATGTCTCTACCACAAAATAACATCAGAATTGTCTGGAGATAGTAAAATAATTCTTTTCATCTATTATTTTAAAACATATTTAAACTTGGTAATTTTCTCAAACCAAGGGAATAGATTATTGATTGACAAAAGGAAAAGAAATCATCAAACAAAAATATACTTACTCATATGAAAGGCAATCATGGGTTTAGGTGGTTGGATAATTTTCATAATCCCGAAGATAAAACTGAAAGTGCTAATAGAGTTCAATAGGCACACTGATAGTCTTTCCATGGCTCCATGCATTTTCACAGGTCAGTTTTGATACTGCGCGCTCTGAGCTCTCAACATCTCTCAATAGAAGAAGATGACCAGTAGAGCTCTTCTCAGCAGAGGTCTTATTTCTCTTTAAAACCTGGGAATCATTTCCTATATCTAAATGCCAGAAAAAAGGCATTTTTAAAATGCCTATGAAATATAAGAATATATTTATACTTTTGGAAGAAATTATTTTTAATTTCTCTGAATAAATACATATTTCTACTGTGTGAAGGAATAGAGATATTGGCTTGACATAGCTATTTATGGAAGTACAGAGCCATCTGAATGAATAAACAAAAGGTCCTAAATGACCCAAGTTCAAACATTACTAATTAATCTAGTATGCATTGTAATTTGGCAAAATACTCAACACAATAGCAATGGGGAGAGTGTCCCCAGAGACATTAA